CCTTGGTCTCTTGTTCGTCCTTCAGCACACCCTGAACTCGTCTTCATCTCCCGTGTCTAAGCTGTTACCCAGCAACCCATGGTGTGGGCTCTGGATGTAGCTCAATGGCAGAGCGTGCAGGAGGCCCTGGGTTCAAACTCCAGAACCTCCAAAAAAATCTAATGTACAAAATTAACTTCAGTGGCTGTTCTTTTCTGTTTTACAATTTCTGTTTTGTCCCTTAATGTCAAGTGCTTTTTCTTTTTTTAAAATAGCTTCACTTTTTTGCCAACATTCTTGTCTGTTTTCTATCCAAGTTTGACGCTGTGCCTTTAACGTCTGTGGCTGTGATTGTGGAGGCCGAGGTCCCGTGAGTCCCCTTTTTCTTCCTGGACTTTGCAGCCTGGTGGGTGTCTGATGTCCTCCTTTGAGCTTACTGTTTGCAGCTTGCTGTGCTTTCTGAGCCGCTGAGTTAGATATCTGGGCTGAGTGTGCTTGGGCTCTTGTCTGCCTTGCCGCCTCCACAGACATACACGGGAAAGGCCGCAGTGTCCCGCACGCCTCCCGTGGCTACCACTGCGGCTCTGTGCCCCTTGCTCACTGCCGCCTCCATGCTTCTGTTGAGTGCATCCAGTGAATTTCGGGCTGAGTTTTTGTGTTTTTCAATTCAGGAATTCTATCCATTTCTTTTGTTTTCATATATCTGCTGAACACTTGTGTTTCCTCTCGCACTTTCTTTTAAATATTTGCGTGGTCCATCATTTTATGCCAGTGTACTTTCTGACCTGCTTCCATGACCGAATTTGGAGTGAGCTTGTTTTCCTCAGGAGCTCGCCTTCAGCTCATGGAGCCAGTGGCCTCAGAGCTTTTGGCAGCCCAGCATCTGGTCCTCATGGGGTTGGCCTTTCTCCATTGTCTTTCCCTCAACTGCCAGTTGGGTTTTCCTGGTTCTTCATGTGTCGAGTGCTGTGGATTGTGTCCCGGATTTGTGTGGATTTGTGTTTGGAAGCTTTGGAAGTAATCTGAGGCCTGAGTGCAGGTAGGACTTACTGCAGGTAGGACTGACACCTGCTTCCAGTAGGTGCTGGGAGTCAGTGGCCAGTCCTGCACCTGCCTCAGCTGCAGGCTACACAGCCTCGGTGGAGAGCCAGTCTGTGTCACCCGTCTCCTGCCGGCACCCGGAGTGTGGGGAGGCTGCTGGGCAGGCCCTCCGACTCCTATTTTGTCATTAGGAGCTGGTGAAATGCTTGAAAACAGTTGTACTTCTTCTCTTCAGGTCCGGACTGGTCTCCCAGGAGAGAAAGTGGACCCCCTGCCCCACCCCAGGGGTGCAGTGGCTGGCTGGGCGCACCCTTCCCTGGGCCAGCTGGCGAGTCCCATGGTTCTGTGGGCAGCAGAGCCTTTGCACCGCGTTTGTGTGCACCACCCTCCTGCCGTCTGTGGCAAAAGACCCCCTGAGTTAGGGGCCCTCCACCCTTCCCCAGTCGCTCTAGGGAGACTTCCTGATTTCTGTGCTTTGCTCTTACTTTTGTGTGTTGGGCCAGCTTGTTCCATTTGTATCTTGGTCACACAGGCCGGGCCTCTCAGGTGACCTATTATTTTTCTGTGTGCTGGCATCAGAGACCTTGGGTAACTCCTGTGACAGTGCTTCCTTGGGGGCTGCAGGTGGTGTCCTTGCTGTGGGCCTCAGGGTACAGGGACCCTGGCGAGAGTTGGGATTTCCCTGGCCCCTTTGCTTCCTTGCACCTGGGGAGGTGTCTCTCTGCTGGGTCTGGCTTTTTAAAAGAGCTGCCCTGCGTTGTGACCACTGAGGACCAAGGTGGGGTGACAGGCAGCAGGCCAGTGGTGGACTCTGGTTCCCTGCTGTAGGCTCCCTGGTTGTGGTTCCGGTGTCTGGGCCTGTGGCCCGCGCTCCAGGGTGAAGTCAGGGCAGCCTGGGGCAGGCGGGAGGGCTATGCCAGTCCTGTGCATCTTTCTGTTTTCAGGTGCTGGCTGCCTTCTGCTGTGGTTTCTGGTTTCCATGCACACTGGGCTGCTTTCCCCAGCTTTCTTAGAGTTCTGTGATAGGTGTATTTTGCCCCCCTCAGGTGCTTGCTCTGGCTTCTGGGGAACAGTTGTAGTAATTCCTTGAGGTCTTTGACAGTTCCAACATTTAGGTCACATCTATTGATTGCTTTTCTCTTGAGAGTTACAGCTTTTCTTGTTTATTTTTTCTCATTTGTTGAGGCATTTGGGACAACATATTTTGTGACTGTGCGGGCCCTTTTGGGAACTGGGAGATGTTGGTGTTCTGTTTAGCAGCTGGCCCTCAGCCCCAGGGGCTGCAGTTTGCTGCTGGCGAGTCTGCTCAGCCGTGCCCTCCTGGTGGGGACTGGCAAGATCTGAGCTGCGTGTGTGTCATGGTGGCTGCAGCGGGTTTTCTTTCATCCCTCTCAGGCTGCCCTCCTGGCCTCGGCTAGCAGCCGAGTCTGCACACTGTCACGCCTGCGCCTGTGCAGCACAGAGGCCCTCTCCTCACCATTTGCCTCTCTTCTACCACAAGGGCGTGGGACTGTGGCTCCCCATGGTATGTGTGGGTGAATGGGTATGGCCCTGCGGTGGCCAGGTCAGCTTTTCATTTTACTTTTTATTGTTATCATGGTATTGGGGATCAAACCTAGACCTTGTACGTGTTAGGCAAGTGCACCAGCACCAAGCTGCAGTGCCAACCCTTTTATTTTTGAGGTGGGATCTTGCTGTGCAGTCCCAGATGGCCAGGAACTCCCAGGCTAAGCAGCTCCAGCCTCTTGAGTGCGGGGCCTGCAGGCTCATGCCACTGTACCTGGCTCGTGGGCAACTTGTCTTTTCCTGTGCCTGCATCTCCAGGGTAGAGTTGGGGTGCGGTAGTGGTGATCTGGAGTCAGGAGATCTCCAGCTGCCTCTTCTTGGAGGTCACCTTCTGCTGTGCCTTCTCCAGCCTGAGGGTTATCACACCGCTGTGCTCCAGGGCTGATGACACCAAGCCCACCCCCATGTCATGAGTGAGGAGTGTGGTGGGGTCTGGGAGGCCATGAGCTCCTGGCACAGGGTTCCATGGAATCCTGTGTGTGGCTGGCTCTTGCTGCGGAGGAGCTGGGCCTGGTGTGGGCACGTCTGCCGCAACCCTGCTGAGGCGCAGTGTGGTGGAGGGCAGTGGTAGCGTTGCTTCCTTGAGTCTGTAAGAGAGACACAAGCGATGAGGGTGATACCGAGACCCGCTGCACGGCTCACCATGCTGTGCTGCATCCACTCCAGGGGCTCAATGTGGGCACATGACCTGGTCCTCTCATCACCCAGCAGGTGGGCACTTCTCATGTCCTAAACACACAGGTGGGGCCTGAGGTTTAGAAGCCAAGTGAGAGAGCAGCTGGAACTTTGTCCCCCGTTGGCTGCGGTCCCCACAGCAGCGCCAGGCCTGTCAGAACCCTCGCTCCCTTCAGAGGGCCTTTCCTGATCTGGCAGGTTCTGCCCCTGCATCATCCACCCAGCAGAGCGGAGCAAGAGCGCCTGCTTCCAGACAGGTGTGACCGGAACCCTTGTGTTGTGTCCCATCTCCTGAGGCCCCTGCCTGCGCTCTGTCGGATCATCACTCTCCCCGTCCCCTGCATCTCACGTCAGCGCTGCTTCCCCAGGTGTCAGTGTAGCTCCAACTCCTGGCTCACACCACCGTGACCTTCCCTACCTGGACCTGCCTGGGGCCATCTCCACCCTGGCGCTGGGCTGGTGTTCAGCAGCAGCAGTGAAACGCAGTTGTGTCTCCCCAGCCCTTAAACCTGTGTTCTGGACCCCACGTTCCTCAGAGCAGAACCTGCATCCCTACCTTCCTTGTTCCATTCCTTCTGTGACTGCCACACCACCCTGGTCCTGGGGCTCTTTCCTGCTGCTCAGCCCAGTGGGCGTTCTTTGACATTTTGAGCTTGGTCTCTTTTCAGTGTTGGTGGGTGGTCCCTCTCTCCCAGAGAGGTCTTTCTTCCCCAAGCCGTGCAACGCCATGTGCCATGCTCAGTCACCTCTTAATTCCTTCCTATGGCTTCTCCCCTGTGCCCGCCTGACACCAGGTGGTCTGCAGGCCTCCTCTGACCAGCCCTGGTTCTCACTGTGCCCTCTGGGAGACTTAAGCCCCATGGGTGTTAGTTTTTTTGTATGGATGTTAGGTGCCAAATGCCATCCCTTTGTCCTGTGCCTCTGATCCCCATGCTGGTTCCCTATCGGAGAACCCTGCAGGCACCCTGAGCCCCAGTAAGACAGAGCTTCTCCTTCCCTGTCAGCTCCTGACTCCTGTCTTAGCAGGTCTTGGCCAGCAGGATCAGAAGATGGGCATCTTTCCATGTTGTCCAGACCTGTCCTTCACTCTCAAGCATGGATGCCAGCAAATAGAATGTCCTTGTCCCCCAGCTTTCGGCCCCTGACCATTCTTGCCTCTGTCCTCACCAGATGGGCCCAGAGTGCCTGACAGCCCTGCGGTGAGGGGGGCAGGTAGCAGGTGCTCAGAACTTGCTGAATGGACTGGGAAACAGAGTTCGTCTCTCCTGTGCGCTTATGCAGGGTCATGTTTAGGTTGCTGGGCCACCTTCTGCCCATGTCCCGTGTGACGCCCCCATGACGTGTGGACGGTGCCTGTTGGCTTCTTTGTCCTTGTCGGAGCCTCAGCCTGAGCACTGTGGCTCTCAGACCCCGACTCCCCAGTATTTCCCTACTTTTCCTGGCTTACCCCAGTGCTCAGTAATTGTTGAGTAATTCTGTCTCAGTGGTTTGTAGGGGAAATGAAAAATAATTACCAGAAATAGACTCAAGGCGTTTAGAAAGCTGATTTAAAAATAGCTGTTGACCGATGAACTGGAAACATCAGCCCCTTGATGGCCTGTGCTCCACCTCCGAGTGACCGGTGGGTGTGAGAGGTGTGGCTCGCCTGTCCCTGGGCGTGCTGGCTTCTGTGGCTGGGGCGGAGGGAGTGCACGGGGGAGACTGGGTATGGGAGTGGCCCTGTAGTGACTCGGAAGCACATAGAAACAGCTTCCATGATTCACGTGCTTGCAGAGTGCAGAGTTGAAAGTGACCCAGGGAAGTGTTTCTGCTGGGCGGATTGTTGGTTTAAGAGATCAGGCTCGCTGCCTGGCCGAGCTCTCCAGTCTGCCAGCTCCTGTGTTCATGTTGGGTGTGTCTTCACCCTGTGGCCTTGGGCTCCAGCAGCTGCTCTGGGGCCTCCTCACTTCCACGGAAGGCCAGCTTTGCTGAGCCTGTGTCCGTGTCTTGTCCTGTGTCCCGGCCCCCACACCCAGCACCTGGAGAGGAAGGACCCTGCGCAGTCTTCCCAAGCTCTGCCTGTTTCAGCTCTCCTAGGGTGGAGCCTTCCCAGTTGTTCAGGTGAGAGGGGAGGGTATCCTGGCCAGCCAGTGGGGCTCAGGTGCTAGATGTCCCATGGAGATGTCACAGAGGCTGTCAGGGAAGGGCCAGGGCTGGGTGTCCTCTGGGTCGGGAGGTCAGATGTGTCACTTGTTGCCTTTGGAAAAGAGAGAGACCCAGGTAGCGGTGATGTGGAGGAAGGTGATAGTGGCTCTGGCCAGGAGCACTGGCCACTGGGCTGCTGCCAGAGGTGCATCCTTTTCCTGGTGGCGGCAAGAGCTTCTTAGGCTGTGGCTGGATCATGGGACTCCTGGCCCTGTGCCCTTCCCCAACTCCCACCATTTAGTCAGACTCGCTCTTCGTGGTACCTTCTGTCCCTGGCCACTGTGACATTATGCTCCCACACATGGGGCGGCTCCACCCTCATGTCACTGTGTAAGGCAGAGGTTACGCTCCATGCTGGGCCGATTGCTTCTACTATTGGTATGATCTCATTCCAAACTGTGGTGGTTTTAGGGCAGGCAGCTACCCAGTGTGCTCAGGACGGTGGGGCCTGAGCCTGCTGACATCCACTGAGCCTGGGCAGAGCAGCGGCTTCTGCAGGGTTGCCATGGTGACCAGATGAGGTGTGCCGCACAGTGATTCAGAACCGCAGTGCTGTGTGGACACTGGCCACGCTGTTCAGAGAGAGGAACCCAAGGGGATGTGAAGAGTGCGGGCGGGGGTAGGTCCACACTCTCACCGTTAGACTCGGGCTCGGAAAATAGCACTGTGAGAGAGAAGCAGAGAAAGAGGGGTGCTGCTGAGGGGTACTGAAGTGCTGCTAACCCCCTCACTGGGCTTTGCACCCTGGATCTGGCAGGTGCTAGAGGATGTGGATGCCCTGGCAGCGTGAACAGCACCAGTGTCCCTGGCTGCATCCTCGCTAGGTGTGTGTGGGCTTTCTTCAGCAGCCTTCCCGGAGGTGGTGGCCTTTCTAAACTCTTCTGGAGGTAGTAGACCATTCCAGAAGGCACCCGGGTGCTGCAGTCCTGGCAGCAGTGTGGCCACCTGGGTGCTGGAGAAGGGAGCAGCCTGCGGGACTTTGTCTTGCACGTGCCTGTGAGGGATATGGCAGGGAGATGCGAGAGGGTGGAGCAGTGGTAGTGCCTTTGCCTTGCATGTCTGTGGGCAGCTTGTGTGTGTGTGTGTGTGTGTGTGTGTCCCTCTCCCTGTGTGTCAAGCAGTGCAGGAGCAGGCTGTGTGGATGCAGAGTTGGATGCCTCTCAAGCCTTGAGTGTGGCTCCTGTCCCCTTGCCCATGGTGAGGGCCCCCACCCCGACTCCATGCAGTGTGTTGGTGCTAAAGAGATGGATTTGTTTAAAGAGTTGAATGCTGCTTGGCTGGAGGAGAAGGAAAGGCAGTTGCCACTGTCCTGTCACCATCGAGGTCACAGCGGCACCAGCTGGGCTTCTTCTGTTTTAGAGACTGGCTGTTCCGCCCAGCTGTCACCTCCATTCTGAGGCTAAGAGGAGGCCCTGCTGACACCTCCTCAGGGTGTCAGGTGGTGATGACTGCACCATGGTTTCTCTGCAGCCCATCACTGAGTCTGGATCTTTGGGGGACCTGCAGTTGTGAGTGTGCCGAGGGTCTTCACGTCTGGTAGTTGTCCAGTTCGTGGATTGCAGCTTTGCCAGGGCTGTCCTGAGGTGCTGCCCTTGTGTCCTGGGGGCTGGCAGCCCCTAGTCCTGTGGGCTTGGATGTCCATATGTCTGTCTTGCTCACGTGATGCTCTCCCATCTTAGACAACATCCCCGAGGATCTCCGAGACCCCTTTTACATCGACCAGTATGAGCAGGAGCACATCAAGCCACCCGTTATCAAGCTGCTCCTTTCCAGTGAGCTCTACTGCCGTGTCTGCAGCCTCATCCTCAAAGGGGACCAGGCAGCTGCCTTACAAGGACACCAGTCAGTCATCCAGGCCCTGTCCCGGAAGGGCATCTACGTGATGGAGAGTGACGACACCCCGGTGACGGACACCGACCTCGGCTACGCCCCCATAAAGATGGTGAGTGTGGGGACACACTGGGGTGCAGAAGTCAGTGCAGGGCAGCGTGCTCCTGTCTAAGTACATGACTTGCAGACTACGAGCAAAAGCCACTTCTGCTGAGCTCTTTCTCGGTGGATGCTGGAACGCTGAGGCTGCAGCAAGGCACCGGATGGAGATGCGCTCAGCCAGCCCTGCAGGCGCTGTGACCTAGGGTCAAGCCCATTGCGTGGGAGCGCCGCACGTGTATGGGGCATTTTCCTGCCCAGATCTGGTGGCCCTTCCCCCTGTATCTAAAGCCTTGCTGCTGCTGCCTGGCCTGCCCAGCAGGACTCCAAGCCCCACGCCCCTGCATTTCTTTGTTACGCTCGCTTTTGCATTTGGTGGTTTTCCCCCTCAGGCTTAAGAGTGGAGTGTTGTGGGTAACAGGGACATCCCTTGCATCAGGCAAGAAAGGGCATGAAGGCAGCACTCCCACGGAGGTGTCCCTGCTTCCCAGGGGCTGCTGGAGTGGGAGCAAGTGAGAGAGTCAAGCTCACTCCAGCCCCGGCCGCCTCGGCTCTCTGTGCCCTGCACACCCTACGCTTCCTGAGGCCGAGGGGTGAGGGGATCTGTAGGTCTCAGATTTGTGTCTGCATGTGGGGCAGGGAGAAGGAAAGGAGTCTGGGTGGGGTCCCTGCATTGGGATGTGGACAAGAGGAGCTTTGGGTGCCAGCTGCTGTCTGTGCCCCCAGAGTGCCCACATGGCGATGGTGGACGCCCTGATGATGGCCTACACCGTGGAGATGATCAGCATCGAGAAGGTGGTAGCCAGCGTCAAGCGCTTCTCCACGTTCAGCGCCTCGAAAGAGCTTCCCTACGACCTCGAGGATGCCATGGTGTTCTGGATCAACAAGGTGGGTGCTGCGCCCCCCCAGCAGCATGTTCTTTGTCCCTTGCTCTGGACCTCTTGCTTGGTCCTGGGATCTGCAGTGGAAAGCAACATGCATACCTCATCCTGAGTGTCAAGAGAGGGGCAAGAGGAGTTAGATTTGAATTTCAGCGAATATGTAATGAGAACAAACGGTGAATTTTTCTTTTTCTTCAGCCTCGGTGTGCAGTAGGAGCAGTCCGTTTTAGATGTTCGATCCTTTGGAGAGACATGGTATTTTCCTAAATGCCACTTTCTCTTTCACATGTACAAGTGTAGGCAGTGTTTACATGATGCTTGTAGGGCACGCCCTGTCATTATTTGTGGGCAAAGCTTAACACACCTCTTGGGTAACGAGCCTCCTTGTCTGCAAAACTGTTTAAGATAGGGCATCGGGCAGAGGAGACAGGATTGTGTGGCTCCAGGTAAAGGCGTATTAGTGAGCTTGAGGAAGACACTTGCTGGAGATGTCAGGCAAGGGGAGTGCCAGCCAGGCCCATGACTCCCTGTGAAGGCTTCAGCCACTGCTGTGATGGACAAGTCTTTATGTCAAGGGAAAGGCTTGGGCCAGGACTTTCATTCAAACAGCTGGTCTGCTCTTGAATTAGTGGGTTTGAGGAATCAGGTGGATAGACACTGCCCACCCATGAGAGCCTGCTAGGGCGGAAAACTTCACTGGGTCACACCGTAGAGCCTCTCAGTCTAGTCTGGACTGGATGCTGGCCAGTGCTCCTATAGGACTCCTCTGGGTTACACAGTGTGGGTGCCTGAAGAGATTTGGTTTAAGAAATGGTTCTTTTGAGTTTGATATGTAGTGGGGCCTATCTGTGATCCCAACACTCTGGGAGGTTGAGGCAGGAGGATTGCAAATTTGAGCCCAGCTTGGGCAACTTAGCAATTTAGTTTCAAAATGAAAAATACAGAAAGCGGGGCTGAGGATATAGCTCAGTGCTGAGGCCTCAGGTTTAATCCCCATACTGGGAGGGGAAATGTCTCAGGACTGGGACACATTTCCACAGAAACTTAGCCCCTGGTGACCTTTCTGAATCCCTAGCAGGCGTATCATGAGGGCAGAAGTTCAGATTTTTTAATATTCTATAACAGTTTCTGTTGGTTTCCCCCTTTATTATAAAAGAACCGATGTGGTGATTGTAGAAAATTTAGAACCTACGAATGAGTGAAAAGATACGTAAATTACTCTCTTCCTAGCATCTGCAAAGATGATTGGCATTTGCTGCTCCTTACAGTATATTTCCATGTATGTAGTGTGTAGACTAGAAACACAGCTGGAGCTCACCTGAGTCCATCCTGCAGAAGCCGAGGCTGGCTGGGCGAGTTGCTGAGAGCCTCTGTGCCACTGGGACCACGGCCTTGCTTTCTGCTGCCCACTTCCTGCACAGTCACAGAGATTTCCTCAGACCAGGTTTCTGCCTGGGGAGCAGTGTGGAAAAAGTTCATTTTTGTAGATTTTTTGCTTGTGTTTGGACATGAAGGCTATGCCATTCTTCTCATGTTGTCTGTGTGTGTCGTTTTCTGTGTTTTCCCATTAACTGGATGTTGTTTAAAAACACTTGCCAGTTTGAAGGTGGACAGCATCATCACAGGCTGAAGTCTGGCTGTCTTAACCTCTTCATTGTCTTGTCACATTTCGGGGTGGGAGGCACCCTCATTCCCTCCTTGATTGGGTTTCTTATGTGTTTGCCATGTGTTAACAAATCATCCCAGGTCATTGGTGGCAAACCTGTGGTACTCGTGTTATTTATCTTTTAAGACAAAAGATGTGAGTGTATGGGTTATTTTTTCAGTGTTCAGGTTTAATTGCAGGGTTGGCACTCCGTGGTGCAGTTGGGGTCTTCTCTCTACAGGGCTCACTATCACTGGCTGAGGTTCCTGTGCCTTGCCGTGTATACAGATGAGCTTCACTTTCCTCATGTGTTGATACTGACTTCTGCCTCCTGGAGTTTTTAAAATTTTTTTTGAGATAAGATTTATCTGTGTGGCCCAGGTTGACCTCATGGGGTTAAGTGACCTTCCTGTCTCACCCAGCCAAGTGGCTGTGACCACAGATATGCACAACTGTACCTGGGACCTCCATATTTTAAATAAGTGCGTTGTGTTTCTGGGTGCTGGGCCCTTGCATATGCTGCTGCCCCTCAGTGATTGTGTCTCTGCAGAGCCTCTCCTCTCCCTCACTGTGATGATCTGCACACTGCTGTGAGGTCTCCCTGGTGCTGGGCAGCTGCTGCCCACTGTCCTGCCTCCAGGACGGCAGCCAGAAGGCCACTGTCCCTGGGCTTCCTGTCCCTCTGGTGGTCTTTTAGGTTCTCTGCTTGCCCACTGTCTTAGTTACTTTTCCTGTTGCTGAGACAAAATACCTGACACCCACAAATGAAGGGAGGAAAGGTTTATTGAGCTCACAGTTTGTAGAGGTTTCAGTCTATAGCCAGCTGGCTCCAAGGCAGGGTTACATGGCAGAGGGGGACCATTCACAGAGGCAGAAGACAGCAAAAGCAACAACAGAGAGAAGCCTCTTTCTGTCCGTTATATAGTATGCAGGCTACCACCCTAGAGCATATGTAGCCCTCACACCCTGAATTTCAGCATTGCGCTTTGAATCAGTCACATACTCTAGGTTCAGCCACCTCCAAAAAATCTCTTGACTGTATTCGGCTTTGGGGGGACATCTAGACACAAACCATAACACCCATCAGCTACCTTCCCTGGGCCTGTTTTGGTTTTATTCATGCCCCAAAATGTCACAATGACAAGGGACACATCCTTTTAACGGTGTTGCACAGTCAAGGTGGTGTTGCCAGCATACTAAGTGCTGCCCTGTGCTCCCTGGTAGTGGATCCTGTGCAGCTCTGGGTGCTTGCTTCATGGGGATTCGCTTTGTCTTCCACATGCTTTGTGCTCTTTTCATGCTTGGCTTCTGTCACTGAGCAGAGTGGCTTTAGGTTCCTCCATGGCGTCCTGCCCGCCGGTAGTGTGCTCTGTGTGTGCTTGTTCAAATTCCTTCATAGGAGGGCGCCACACATCTCTTGCCATTCACTGGAGGTGGGCACGAGGCTGCTTCTAGGTCCTGTCTGTTTTGATTACAGCTGCCAGGAGTGTTGGGTGTGAGACTGTGTGCTGATGCGTTTTTATCTCTTTGACTACATATTGGGGATGGAATTGCCGGGCTCCCCTCGTACCTGCAAGTTAGGTGTATACTGTACCAGTTAGATGTCAGCATGTTCAAGTTAAACCTCTAGAAGTTGCCACAGTGTGACTTTCCTAGGGTGACTGTCCTTTCAAATAACCATCAACAGGATAGGATTCCAGGCACTGTGCCCTCTTGTCAGCACTCATACAGTCGGTCTTTTTCCCTGCTTGGAGGCTGTGAGTGGGGCCTCTGGGTGCTGCTCATGCGCCTTTCGCTGTGTGTGAACGTGCTCTGTCTGCTTTTGTCCAGGGCTCGTTTGGGTATTTCACCCAGTATTTCACTGGGTTGTCTTCATGTTACCGAGTCACGTGTGAATGTCGGGAATGAAGAGCCGTGTCAGGTCTGTGTCGGGAGCGTCTTCCCCCGCCTCGCCTGCTCTGTTTCGTAGTGGGGCAGACTTGTTGAAGATCACTGAGCTGTGTCTGTGTCCCTCACGGCTGCTTTTCCCGACTTGCTTCATGGGGATTCTCTTTGTCTTCCACGTGCTTTGCGCTCTTTTTGTGCCTGGCTCCTGTCACTGAGCAGGACTGGCCTCCTGCTCTGTCAGGTGCACTGTGGTTTATGTGGACTGCAGTCTGGTGCTGCTCACATCCAGACCATCTCAGGCTTTTGAACTGCATCCTTTTTTTTTTTTTAACCAGAAAACTATTGTTTAGCTACTGCGTGTTATCTGTTGTAGCCAACCAAGTGTTACAGCAATTTTAGATTTTCCAGTGGGGTGGGAAACACGAGCCGCACTTCCCAGAGGCGGAGGGGTCCAGGTTTTATCTCACCAGCTGGCTCAGAGGTGGTAAAACTCCACGTGTTGAGCCCTGGGGACAGGGGTTACAGCACTTTTTATAGAGTTCATGGTGGGAGAAGAGACGCAAGTGAAGTTACAGAGCAAAGGCAGGTACTCAAACATGGCAGGAGTGATGGAGACTGCTATGAAGCAGGACTTAAGTTAACCAGTTGGCTTTCTGTGTTTACTTGTGAGTCTGTCCAAGGCTTCGGCCCCTTGTCTGGAGATGAGTGGAGGACACATAGTCAGTCAGTGAACCTCTGTGAGTCGCAGAATCCCGCTGAGGCCTATAATGGCCGGTAAAGCCTTGGCACCTCAAAGGACAAGTTCACAGCTAAGGACACCTGGATCCAACCTCAACTAGATAAAGACTGTAGCCTCAGGCATCTCACTCCTGGATGGAGACCTTCCTGGAGTTAACACAGCTCTCCTAAATTAACATAATGCCTTACTTGGAGAAGTTCTTGAGCAGTTCCCGCCTTTGTTCTGATAACTAAATGAATGTGGGCTGCAAGCCACCCAGAGAAGATCTTGGTTTTAGCTCGGCAGGAATCTTGAATTCTGTGAGAGGGTTTTGATCCTCCTGGAGCCCTGAAATCATTCCATTTGTCCCTTTTACTTAGGCTTCATTGTCCACTAGTTTGGGAGATTGCAGATCCTATAACTAAGGGATAAAATTAACCTGATTTGTTACAAAAGTGGAAATTAAGCCAGGCATGGTGACGCATGCCTGTAATCTCAGCACTCGAGAGGCTGAGGCAGGAGGATCCTTGTGAGTTCAAGACCAGTCTGGGCTACAGAGTGCGCTCAAGGCCAGCCTGAATTGTATATAGTGAGACCCTGTCTCAAAAAGCCAAAAAAAAGTGCAAATTAATATTGACTAATAATTCTAATCTTAACTTTAAACAGATTCTGATCCTGAAATTAAACAAGTAGATTCAAATCTTAAAATTAGGCAAGTGGTGATTAACGTGGGATATCAAAAGGACAGAGGGTAGGA